TTCTGAAGTGAGGAAGGTCACTCTGAACCTGTTGAGAATCCCATAATTTTCATTTATAGCTTTCTAAAGCTCACTTGAGCTATTACATCCCATAACTCGCATTACAATTTCAGGAGTCATTGAGGAATACAATCACCCCATTAGTAGTTGATCAATGGACAACCACCTAGAGTACTCAGGGTTAGGAGATGACCTAACCAACATACAGGCCTCAGTTGTGATTTGAGTGTCAACGGTTTGGTGGGGTATTTCATTAGTCCCCAGCAAATATCCTTCCAGGCCATGGCCTCTTACAATCGGCATTATAACATTCTTCCAAAGGAGAAAGTTATCTTTGTCTAGCTTAACAGACGCCGATTGAGTCAGATTCATCCCAAAGGGGGTAAAATTGCTCCCAAGAGCTGGGACTGGAGTAATTAGATTCAGATTTCTTGTATCTGGATTTGTGGAGCTAGCGTCTGGGTTTGGGGTAATATATTTGCCATGGATTTTAGCTATGATACCAAGGTAGAATTTAGAAACTAGAAAATTGATGAATATAGAATTAATTAAACCTCAGAATACAAAATTCATACATATACAGCAGCACTCATATCTCTAATTTATACACTAAGATGAATACATATAATACATGCAACCTACACTAAGAGTGACGGAACGCGCCATTAAGAATCCCTAGAATCATGGATGGTTAGTAATGCTGTGGTTGAATCCGTTGCAATGGCCGTACTGCCATATTCCGTTAGCTTCAAGAACTGGTAAGGTAAAGTCGTGCTTCTCTGTTATTACGTTTTTATCATCTTTTGTAGTTAGTGCTTCTTTGTCCCTCATCTTCTTGAATTGTGCGGTTTGGTCCTCAATGTTATCTTTTCTAACAGTCCAAATGGTGCAACGAAAGGACTATTCTTCGGGATTTGCAGAGGCGTACTTGCAGAAAGTCTGGAGCTCGCATGCTTTATTGGAAAATGTGGTGTCAATGGAGGAGTAGAAGGTGATAAACAAGATGGTAGCTCATCTCTAGCCTTTTACGAGGAGAAGGAGAAATATGAGTTGACGTGGCTTCGATTTGTAATTTAGCCCTTGTTTGGTACGCATTCTTTCAAAATTCATTTTCAACCACACATTTTTCAATAAAATAATATTTTCTATCACATCAATAACTTTTCTTACTTTTTAATCACATATTTTCCATCATATCACTATTTAAAATACATTATATTCTCAATAATATCCATCAAACATACCATTATTATTACATTTAGACATGAAAATCCTCAGAACTATTTGCTTAGACAATACACAGATGTGGCTTCAACATCTTAAAAATTAGTTGGGGCAATAAATATATGTTTTACATATTAATAGTATTAAATTGGAATATTGACTAAATTTTAATTTTTTTCTTCTTTAATCTTGTCTATTATTATTTAGTCAAATGTACAAACATGCTATAACGATGTGAGTGCATTTCCATAGTAGAATGTCACGATCTTCTTGTTTTGCGTTTAAACTGCGAGTAAACCACTATAAATATGTATGGTGTTTTTTTATTATCGCTTTTTTAATGTTGTTCAAATCCATTTTGCAAAATTTATATCTTTGTGTCAATTCGTGTGCGTCCGTCTTAGAAAGTTGGTTGAGCCTGAAAGCTTAAAGGCAACTGAGAGCAAGCAAATGAAAATAAGATTGTACACAATATATTATTATTATTATTATTGTCATATGCACGTTGATGTTCATAAATTATAGAATTGTTAAGGATCAACTAAAGGTTGATCAATTGATTTATGAATCAATTTACTTGCTCCGATGAGTACAAGTTCAATTTTACTTGGGTTTTAATAACATAGACTTTGTACTTCGTGTTCAAAGCTTATGAATCAAATTTTTATTTTCAAATTCCAAAATCAACATTTCATTACAATTTATTTGAGCCCTAAATGTTCTCTTTCTCACGTGAGTCAACATTTCAATCACAATTTCTCGCGTAATTTGAATTTCAAATAAGAACATTCCTTAAATTGAAATTTATAAAGATACGACTGAATTTATTCAAATACATTACAAATTTAAATAATAAAAGATCATGAATTAATTTGCATCCTCATATATTCACCGTAAAATCGAGGCCCAGTTTCTTCTTCATGGGTATTATAGGCATAACCCCCATGGCTTGATATATCAAGCCCAGTTAGTTCTTCATCTGGGGATATTCTCAAAACTCTAAGCCAATGAAGTACGTAAAACAAAGGGCCCATAGTAATACTGACCCAGCACAATATAACCAAAAGTTCAACTAATTGGGCCCCAAACAAACCCCATCCACCACCCAATAGAAGCCCATAAGATCTGTGGACCCCATCTAGGCCGGAATCATATGCTTGGATCAGAAATTCCTCTTTGGCAAACAATCCTGTAAAGATTAGGCCCCAAGCTCCACATCCACCATGTAATTGGGCTGCTTCTAGTGGGTCATCATATTTGAACTTTAGTGCTAATACATTGAGGCCAATAAGAACCCAAGCTGCAACGAATCCGCATACTATTGCGGCCCATGGTTCTACGACTGCGCAACCCGAAGTGATGGCCACGAATCCGCCTAGTAGCCCATTGCATACGTCAAGAGCATCCCAGTGGCCGACAAGCAACCTTCGACCGAAGAGAGTGACAATTCCGGCAGTGGAACCAGCTAACGTGGTTGTTACTGCAGTCCGACCTACTGCAGTCCAGTTACCTTGATTAGTCGTATTGGGATATGGGACGAGAATTTTGTTGAAAGACCCGGGATTGAACCCAAACCATCCAAACCATAACAAGAACGTTCCTAAAACGACCAACGTCGCGTTATGCCCTCGCATTGCCACGGGCTTACCATAGGCATCAAACCGCCCTACTCGCGGGCCCTCTATGAAGGCACCCCAAAGTCCGGCAATGGCACCAACCAAGTGAACCACACCACTACCTGCAAAGTCGATAGCACCCGATCCAAACAAGAGCGAACTCGAGTTCGGGCTGAGCCATCCACTAGACGACCAAACCCAATGGGCCACAATCGGATAAACGAACCCCGACAGAAAAAAGGAAAATACCAAATACGCACTAAATTGTGTACGCTCAGCAATGGAACCACTAGTGATCCCAGCAACTGCTATGGCGAAAGCCCATTGGTAAAGAAAGAAACTGTAATCATAAGAATCCGAAGGAATTTCTTTAAGAGCAAAGTATTGGGTCCCAATAAATGGGTTCGAATTCGAGCCTTCGCCAAATGCGAAAGCAAACCCGAATAGATAGTAAGAAAGGCTACCCACGACGGCATCAACTACATTGGTGAGCATAATATTCATGGCATTCTTGGCCCGAACAGAGCCCGCACAGAGCATGGCGAACCCGAGCTGCATTACAAAGACTAAGTAAGCTGAAAAGAGAAGATAAATGGCGTTGATAGAATCGGCGACGGTGGATTCCCATGAAACTTCCATTTTCCTGGGAGAAAGAATGGTTGGTTTGAAGGGAATTTGGATAATATGTAAGATATTATGGATGGGTTTGAGAGAGAGAGAAAAATATATCTTCGAGACCAAACAAGTGCTTAGCTCCGTGCAGGCCCGGCCCACTTGTTCTTGTTGTTGACAGGCTGAACATTTTTAGTCACTGACTTGTACGGATAACTTGAAGGGCAAATTAGACCCAATACCCTAAAAAAATAACTAATTTGATTAATACTCTATTAATAAATTAAACAATTTAAGAACGTAATTAATACGTTATAAACCCCCCAACCCATGAACATACGTACACTCAAAAACCACAAAACAAAATGTGATTCAATTTCTGAAGACACCATCCTCAATCTACAAGAATGGTCCAGATTTTTAGAAGAAACTTTGGAGTTTATTCATTGTTCCCGATTAAATATCATTGTAGAAATTTTCAACAAGAAGCACTTCAGTCAATTAATTGATGTTATAACATCGTCATGTGCAGCAAGTGATGCTGCTCTAACATGCAGTAAGTTTGTGACCTCAGATGGAGGAACTGAACATTAAAGTGGAGTAAAGCATGAAATATTATCGAATATTTGCAATCTTCCATGCTGCTGTGTTTTACACCATCCGTACAGAATAAAGTAATTTTCAAGGCAAACTTCATTCGACTTTTTTTAGTACTGAAATACTACATCATAATTCGTTTTCAATTTTAGCTTCATGTTGTTCACCAGATGTAATTTTAGCTTTATGTTGGAAACACGTTTGAAAAATAGCTTCGAATCCGTTAAATTTTTTATGCATATAAGGTGTTTGATAAAAGAATAATGTGAATTCTGCTACTTTTTCTATGAAAAAGTGACGTTTTGTCAATTTTCTATAAAAAAGTGACATTATGAGAAAAAGTGACGTTTTGTCACTTTTCTATGAAAAAATGACATTATGTCACTTTTCTCAAAAAAAGTCACACGCTCTCCCCAATTTTGTAATCCTTTAACCCCTCTTTCCCCAATTTTTGAATTATGTCACTTTTTTGAGTTTATGTCACTTTTTTGTGAAAAAAGTGACAATATTTAAAAAAAAAAAAGTGACATTGTGTCACTTTTTTCATTTTACACATTATTTTTTACTTCTTAAAAACATTTCACATGATTTTTCAAAACACCCCTAATTTTAAAAGTATTTTTGTAAGTACCCCTAACTTGAAGGGAAGAATACATAAATAAG